CTTGCACAAAACTCAAGGACAAAAAACAAGTAGGTAAGCACATTATACTTAACCGGAGAAAAATTAAAACATTCCCTCCCCTCCCCCCCTAAAATAGGAACAGACAAGGATGCCCACTATCTCACTCCTATTGCAACATATACTCGGAATCTCCTAGCCAGAGCATTAGGGCCAAGAAAGAAGGAATAAAAGGAATACATAGGTAAACGAACTGTCAAATATCCCTATTTGCAGACCATGATCCTATACCTTAAAGACGCTCAAAAAACTCTACTCAGAAGCTTCTAGACATCATCAATAGCTATAGCAAGCAAGTAGCAGGATATAAAATCAACATAGAAAAATCATTAGACATTTCTATACACTAACAATGAGCAAACGGAAAAGAATGTATGAAAACAATTCCATTTACAATAGCCTCAAACAAAATCACTAATACCTAGGTGTAAACCTAACAAAAGATGTGAAAGACCTCTACTAAGGAACTATACACTTCTGAAGAAAGAGATTGAGGAAGACTATAGAAAGTGGAGAGATATCCCATGCTCATGGATTGGTAGAATCAACATAGTAAAAATGTATACTTTCTCCCAAAAGTAATCTACATGTTTAATGCAATTCCCATCAAATTCCAATGACATTCATTAAAGAGATTGAAAAATCTACTGTTAATTTATATGGAAACACAAGAGGCCACGAATAGCCAAGGAATACTCAGTCAAAAGAACAATGCTGGAGGTATCACATACCTGACTTCAAAACTATATTACAAAGCAATAACAATAAAAACAGCATGGTACTGGCACAAAAACAGACATGAAGACCAGTGGAACAGAAATAGAGGATCCAGATATGAAGCCACACAACTATAAAACTTATCTTTGACAAAGGAGCTAAAAATATACGATGGAGAAATAGCAGCCTCTTCAACAAAAACTGCTGGAAAACTGGTTAGCAGTCTGCAAAAAATGAAACTAGATCCATGTATATCACCCTATACCAAGATTAACTCAAAATGGATCAAGGATCTTAATATCAGACCCCAAACTCTAATTGATACAGGAAAGAGTAGGAAATCCTGGAGTTAGTAGGTATAGGTAAGAACTTTCTCAATGAAACCCCAGCAGCACAGCAACTAAGAGATAGCATAGATAAATGGGACCTCATAAAACTAAAAAGCTTCTGTTCATCAAAAGAAATGGTCTCTAAACTGAAGAGAACACCCACAGAGTGGGAGAAAATATTTGCCAATATACATCAGACAAAGGACTGATAACCAGAATATACAGGGAACTTAAAAAACTAAATTCTCCCAAAACTAATGAACCAATAAAGAAATGGGCAAGTGAACTAAACAGAACTTTCTCAAAAGAAGAAATTCAAATGGCCAAAAACACATGAAAAAATGCTCACCATCTCTAGCAATAAAGGAAATGCAAATTAAAACCACACTAAGATTCCACCTCACCCTGTTAGAATAGCCATCATCAGCAACACCACCAACAACAGGTGTTGGCGAGGATGCGGGGAAAAAGGAACCCTCTTACACTGTTGGTGGGAATGTAGACTAGTACAACCACTCTGGAAAAAATTTGGAGGCTACTTAAAAAGCTGGACATCGATCTACCATTTGATCCAGCAATACACTCTTGGGGATATACCCAAAAGACTGTTACTCCAGAGGCACCTGCACACCATGTTTATTGCGGCACTATTCACAATAGCCAAGTTATGGAAACAGCCAAGATGCCCAGCACTGACAATGGATTAAGAAAATGTGGTATCTATACACAATGGAATTTTATGCAGCCATGAAGAAGAACGAAATGTTATCATTCGCTGGTAAATGGATGGAATTGGAGAACATCATTCTGAGTGAGGTTAGCCTGGCCAAAAGACCAAAAATCGTATGTTCTCCCTCATATGTGGACATTAGATCAAGGGCAAACACAACAAGGGGATAGGACTATGAGCACATGATAAAAGCGAGAGCACACAAGGGAGGGGTGAGGATAGGTAAGACACCTAAAAAACTAGCTAGCATTTGTTGCCCTTAACGCAGAGAAACTAAAGCCGATACCTTAAAGCAACTGAGGCCAGTAGGAAAAGGGGACCAGGAACTAGAGAAAAGGTTAGATCAAAAAGAATTAACCTAGAAGGTAACACACGCACAGGAAATCAATGTGAGTCAATGCCCTGTATAGCTATCCTTATCTCAACCAGCAAAAACCCTTGTTCCTTCCATTATTGCTTATACTCTCTCTACAACAAAATTAGAAATAAGGGCAAAATAGTTTCTGTTGGGTATTGAGGAGGGGGAGAGGGAGGGGGCGGAGTGTGTGGTAAGGGAGGGGGTGGGGGCAGGGGGGAGAAATGAACCAAGCCTTGTATGCACATATGAATAATAAAAGAAAAATGAAAAAAAAAACAAGTAGGTAAAGGAGAAAACCCATTACACAAGCTTTGAGGGGGGGAAAAGAAATCATTACCACCTATTTACTTAGTCATGTCGAATAAATCTTGAGTCATTAGATAAAGTGGACCTCATTGTGAGTTAACCTTTGGTGCGCTCTGAACAGTCAGACAGCTATTCTGTGAAGAGGCTAATTGTTCAGATACAGGGGAAGTTGAATGCCTATCTAATGGCATATGCATGCTTCGCTACTTCCCATGTTTTCCACAGAAATATCCCAAAGACGGGCATATGAATGAATGCTACAAACATAAAATTTTGTTGAAGTCTTAGGCTTTACTTTTTAAAACCCATGCAAATTTTGCTCTGTACTCTATATCATATTCAGTTTGGTCTCTTCTTTCTTTTTGTGTGGTGCTGGGAATTAAACCGAGGGCCTTGATCATGCTAGGCACTGAGCTACACCCACAGTTCCCAGATGTGTTTCAATCTAAAAATATTACACTGTCTAATAAAACAGAACCTCCAGGAAGATGTGCCTCGTTGCTTATGTGTGGCCCTTTTCCCCATCCCGTCCTACTCTTTGCCAGGCTCACTTATCTGTCTTTGACAAAAAGACCTTTCTATCATTGTGCTGAAGCTGTTAACCAGATTACTGGATTTAGGTTCACCCAGCTAGACTTTACCACCATTGTATAAAAGGGATTCCCAAAAGAAATGGCAGAAGGAAGTTGAAGGTCTCTTTAGCAAGTGCACACCAAAAACTCAAAATCACCAAGAGTGACTTTCCTCAAAGGACTTGGGGGAGTTTCTCTAGAAGCTTTTATGAATAGTACAGAAAGGAGCAGACAACACTGTCGCTATTCTGCTCCCCTTGACCTAGTTTGAGAAATCTAAAATATTAGGCTTCTGGAATCCCCACCCAGGCTTTGCACAATGGAAATGACTGGTGTGGTATAGGTCAGCCAGTAAGATTGGGGAGAGGCTTTTTTTATGACTACAAGAATGATTCTTATTCATTGAGTAACAAATTGGGGAGAAAGCAGGAAAAAAATAAACTGATGACCCAGAGCAGCCCCACTTTGCCATAGTTTCTTCTAGCTTTTTCTCTGACTTTGTGAACTAATAGAGATCATACTGTATGTGTAAGTTTTTGTCTTGATTTTGTTTTTTGTTTTTTGTTTTCTGGTTTTGGCTGTACTAGCCATGCAGTACTGCCTTGCACTAGCTATGCTGGTCCTCTACCACATGAGCCATGCCTCTCACATAGCTGGGATCACAGGCATGGGTCACCACACCCAGCTTGTTATTTGAGATGGAGTTTCACTAACTTTTTTCCCCACTGGCCTCAAACCACTATCTTCCCAATGTCCACCTCCTGAGTAGCATGGATTACAGGTGTGAGCCACCATGCCTGGATTAGCTTGATTTTATCACTTAATGCTAGAGTGTTTTCCCATGTCCTCTGATGATTCTGTTTAATGACTACACAGTGTCCCAATAGCCAGATGCACCAAAATTATTCAACCATTCTGTTAATGTCAGAGGTCTTAAATTGTTCCCAATTTTTTCAGTTTTCTAAATTAAAACTTGGATGAACATTTGTATGTACAAACTTTTGTCCACCCTATGGCTTGTACAGTTAAGTAAGTATCTTAGAATGAGGATTCAAGGGATGTGCACATTTTAAGGGCCTTGATACATACTGGGTATCAGTCAGCGTTCTTAGTCACAAGCAACAGAAGAGTGTGGGAGACTGAACCGAGAAGCTGTTTATTTATTGAGTCTTTCACAGAATTGTTGGGAGGACTGGTTATTCAAGGCTAAGCTGCCAGAAATGATGCCCCAAACCAGGCCAAATAATGGGAAATATATCAACATTTATGTAAATAACACTCTCTGGATTTGTACCTGTGGTGCCCTTGAACCTTGCTATGTAAAACAATCCACTGCTCTGCCCTGCCGCCAGCACCTAAAAAAGCTGGACTTGTCCTTTTGTCACCCAGATCGGCACAAATGGAAGCTCAGTGCTTCCGTGTTTTT